GCTGTGAAACGTGAAATACCGGATGCATTCTTGAGGTCTCAGGCAACTGCAGCTTATAAGCTACCTCACCAATCCTCTGCAGAATCTTGTAGGGCCCATAGAACCTAGCAGCAAGTTTAGGATTGATCCTCTTGGCCACTGTTTGCTGCCTGTGGGGACGCAGTTTTAAGAAAACAAACTCTCCAACTTCAAAGGATATTGTTCTTATTTTCTTGTCAGCAAAATGCTTCATCTGCTGTTGGGCTTTGTGCAAGTTAAACTTCAACTGAGATAGAGCTTCATCACGGTCTAGTAGATCACTGGCTACAGCTTGTACCTTGGTTTCTCTAGGAAGGAACTGGGTAAGTCTTGGAGGAGGTTTGTCATAAACAATTTCAAATAGAGTAGCAGCTGTGGCAGTATGGAAGGATGTGTTATACCATAATGCACCCATAGGGACCAGTTCCTTGGCTGCTCAGAAGCAAAGTATCTTAAGTATGTCTCAAGGCACCTATTTATAATCTCTGTCTGACCATCTGTTTCAAGATGATATGAGGAGCTCATTTTCAGCTTGGTCCCCTGCAATCTAAAGAGCTCTTTCCAGAAAGAGCTGATAAAGAGTGGGTCCCTGTCATGGTAGTCAAAATCGCGAGTTAACACGTAAAATCGTACAATTTTACGATTTGCCGCAGGTCCAACGATCCTAATTCTGGGTTGGAACTCGTTTTGGTGGGATCTCAGGGATCGCACGATCTTCCTCGTGAAATCGTGGAATCTGCGATCCAAGGCGAGTTGTTTCTGCCCTATTTTTAGGGTTTTTTTTCACTCCTCTCTCCGATTTCTTGCCTCTTTGCAACGTGCGAAGTGCACTTCTCTTCTTCCTTAACACAGCGAATCTGTTCATTCCAAAATCGCCTCTTTCTCCACCATTTTTGGACGCGACTAGGACTTTGCAACTTCGTTCCTCTGTTCTACTATCTCTATAGCTTTCTCTCTGATGATTATGTCTGCTTTGGCGACCTTGTCATAGCGGAGCGTTTTGCTGTGGTGGCCATCGCAGCTCCAACGTAGCCTAATTCACAGTGTGACTGGAGTAAAAGTTATTTAGGGTTTAGGGTTTTCTAAGGGTAAAAATAAGACTTCTTATCATTTAAAAATAATTTGGCTTTCCTTTTTTACCCTTAAAGTGGCTCTATTTTAAGTTTCTTTAAGGATAAAATAGTCTTTAAGGTTTAGGATTTATGAAGCAGATTTTAGGGTTTTTTAAGGACAAGACTTCTCATCATTTAAAAATAATTTAACTTTCCCTTTTTACCCTTAATGTGGCTCTGTTTTAAGTTTCTTTAAGGATAAAATAGTCTTTTATCAGAATACAATACTTAATCTATCTTTTCCCTCTCTGTTTCTGTTCTTAATATCTCTGTTTTGAGGTGGGGTGACTCACTTCTCTCATTTGTCCTCTGGCCTTTATATTTATACTATTTTACATGTATTTATACAATTTTGTAGGATCTTCCGATTCGTGTTACGATCCTACGAGTTACGATTTTTCATCTCCTCTCTGATCCTACTTAGAATCTCGATTTTAACTACCTTGGTCCCTGTCACTCACAATTGAAGAGGGAATGCCATGCAGACGAACTATTTCTTTAGCAGAAACCTTAGCTACTGTTCTGGCTGTATAGGGATGTTTATGTAGTATGAAATGCCCATATTTGGACAACATATCTACTACTACCAAAACCGCCTCATAGCCTTTAGATTTTGGTAGCCCTGTAATGAAATGCAATGAAATCCAATGAAATGTCATCCCATACCATAGAAGGAAAAGGTAGGGGCTGAAGTAAACCTCCTGACAAACTATTTCTTTGGCAGACATCACAACTTTTGATAAATTCTAGGACCCTCTTTTTCATGCCCACCTAGTAAATATTTCGTGCAATCCTCCTATAAATGTTTAGAAAACCTGAATGCCCATACTCAGGAGAAGCATGGAATTCCTTCAGTAATTGAGGAATGTAAGAGGAAGTAGATGGTAAACTATGCTCCCTTTATGTAGTAAGATCCCATTCTGAATAGAATAACCTGTCCTTTTTTCGGAATTTTCCTATAAATCAGTCTTCATCTTTTGAATAAATTCATCCTCCTTTATCACTTTCTGAAGTGCCTCACCTTGGAGCCATAAAGGATAGGACAAGATAGCATTTAGCTCAACATCCTCGTAGATTCGTGAGAGGGCATCTGCTGACTTATTTTCAGTACCAACCTTCTAAACTAATGTGAATTGGTATTTGAGTAACTTGGATAACCAATTTTGCTGAGCAGAGGTGGTAATCTTTGATGGAACACTTCCTTCAAACTCTTCTGATCAGAAAAAATGGTGAACTTTCTCCCGATCAAATAATGACGCCAATGCTAGATGGACAAGACCAGAGCCATCGGCTCCCTCTCATAAGCTGATTTAGACAATTAACCCACAGAAAGGCTCCTATACCACTCCCTGAGGCATCACATTCAATCTGGAATTCTTGTGAAAAATCAGGCAATCTCAACACAAGAGCAAAGGTGACTACTTTCTTCAATTTCTGAAAGGCTTGTTCGGCCCTTGGATTCCACACAAAGGCCTCCTTCTTAGTTAACTCGGTGAGAGGTTTAGCTATCTTCCCATAGTTCAAAACAAATTTCCTGTACCTTGTCAGCCCAAGGAACCCTCTCACCCCCTTCACATTCTTAGGGTTGAGCCAGTTTAAGATGCTGCTGACCTTGGCAGGATCCATTGTCACCCCATTTTCAGAAATCATATGCTCAAGATACTCAATTTGACTTCTACCAAAACTACATTTTTTCATATAAGCAACAAACTGATTTTCCCTGTGGACTTCCAGAACCTTAGAAAGATGCAAAATATGTGCAGACCAGTCCCTACTATAAACTAATTTGTCAAAAAAAAAAATCAGTATAAAGTGACGAAGGGAAGGTCTGAAAACCTGATTCATAGTAGACTGGAAGGTGGCTAGTGCATTCATTACGCTGAAAGACATGACTAGGTACTCATAATGACCTTCATGAGTTCTAAAGGCTGTTCTACCAATGTCTTCCTCCTTAACACGTATCTAATGATATCCTGAACATAAGTCCAGTTTAGAGAAAAACCTCATCAAGCAACTCATCCACCACTGGAATTGGGAACTTGTCTGGAACTGTGACCTTATTTAACTCCTTATAGTCCACACACATTCTCCATGAAGAGTCTTTCTTGACCAAAATAACTGGGCTAGAGTAAGGGCTGGTGCTATGCCTTATTACCCCAACATTCAGTAGTTCTTTCACTTGCCTGTCTATCTCATCCTTGTGATGTTGGGGGTATTTATATGGTCTGACACTTACTGGACCAGTACCTGGGTATAATACAATAGAGTGCTCAATGGCCCTCTTGGGAGGTAATCCCTTTGGCTCCTCAAATATAATTGTATGCCGCTGCAGTAACCCCTGCAGCTCATCTAATTGCTGAGGTTTCAACTCACTGTCATCAGCAAAAAATTCCAGAACTCTCTTTCCAATTTAGGCCTTCAACTTTGCAAAGTTGACCATCTAAAAGCTCATTGAAGGTAGGACAACATTCCCTTTTCCACCACTAATGCCCTTCAGCTCCACTGGCCAACCATCCACTTGGAAAGTCATAGAGAGATCCTTCCAATCAATTATCATCTTCCCTAATGTCTTTAGCCAAGCAATTCTCAAGATCATGTCCAGGCCCCCTAGTTCAAGTACATGTGCATCAATCTGAACCTGAATAGCACTAGGGTTTAGATGAACTTTAGGACAAGTCCACAAAGTTTTAACTGTATGACCATCTCCCAATTTCACTCCATTACCTTTTTTTGTCTCCCACCTTTAGGCCAAGGCTTGGACCACTCTTGGAGATCTAAAGTTGTGACTGGCCCCACTATCAACCAGCAAGATTATTGGTACTTCTCCCAACCTGCCTCCCATCCTCCTAGTCATCGTCTCCATAAAAACATCTAATCTTTCCTCCAAGGAATTCATTCTTTCCTCAAAAGTGTCACTGCAATGACTTTCATTTGCACCACGCTTTGTCATCTTGAAATTCTTGCTGATCAACACTTCTCTGTTTCTTCCCCAACCGAATCCGGCAGGTTGGACCAGCGTTATGTTCACAAGAAAAGAGGGAAGAAAATACAATCTTTATTAATTCTTTATTGAATTGATGAATTTTTAGTGTACAATCCTATACCCCAAAGCAATGCTCCTTAGAGAATTTTCTCTACCAAGTTTAGAAACTAACTTTCAAAACAGACCCCTAACTAACTCTCTCAGCTACTATTTATAGCTGGAGTTTGAAACAGAAAAATAACTCCTAACTGCTAGCTGTCATTATTAATTGCTTTTTTTTCCCTAGAGTAAACCAGCCAAGGCTTGGCCTTGTTTGACTTAGTATTTACAAAGATATTAGGGTTAGGACCCTGACTCCTATGAGAATGCCATGAGGCCAGATGTTTTTTTGGGAAAGCCACATTACCAGGTAAATTCCTGGAGAAATATGGGGCCCCAGACATTGTTTTTGGGAACGCCGTGGGGCCAGTTGATATTTTTGACAAAGTTATGCAGCCAGATCAAATTTTTTGGAGAAGCTGCATTGCCTGACTAATTTCTTCAATCTCAATGAGGATTTGAAGCGGGTATATGGAGTTTTAGGCATAGAGGGAGGAGGCAATAAAAGAGAGTTAATATTTAGTGAGATGTGTCATAATGTTATGGGATGTCCATGAAACCTGCACTAACACTTATTTATACTAATCGTATACTCTAAACCGTAAATCCTATTTAATTAAAAAAATTATAATAAGATATGAAAACATGGTGACTAATCCTCGAAGATAAGACACAATAGGATAATATTTTTAGATACTTTAGCAGTTCTAGTTGTTAGTATATATCTTTTGTTTCTGCCTAAGTTATTACTGCATTATTACAATTCCTATCCATTGGTTCTATGTCAGGAAGAGCTTTTGGAAATTGGACGTATGCTTTAAGTTTGTGGTGCTTGAATCCAGCAGTTGTGTTTAAAGATGTTGCTGATCTTTCTTTATCAATCATCTTGACTTCTGGGTAAGTGTAGTGAATGGGCACCCAGGGCCAAACCCAAGTTATACATTTTCATGACAGAATTCTGTTTATTTTTTCTTCTGTTCTGAGAATGTATCTCCAAATATGTTCCTACATGGCGCATGCAAATGAAAAATCAGTTTATGGAGTCTGAGCATTCCTACTGAGAAGCAAGAGGGCAGGCTGGGATTTTATGGGCTGACCTGATCAGCTGGACTGATATGAGCCAGTTATGTCCAAGCCACTTAAGCCAAGTTTAATATAAGCATTTAAGTATATGGCCTGTCCAGTATTCCAGTAATGGCTGTCTCAAATATTGTGTTAAAACTTCCAAATTGTATTTGAACAACTTCTTCCCTTGTCTGAGCATGCTTAATAATATATGTAAAGATGGCCAACTATATGTCTGGGTGGGTGGTGGAAATAACCTGTTTGCTGTTCTGTAAAATACGTTTGTTGGAATACAGTTCCAGTGGGGCATTGCTACCACAAACATTCATGGTAAAGGAAAACTTTCACCAAATAATTGAAGTTTGATATACATGATATGCCACTTTGATACAAATTTTAATTGCTAAAATGAGGGGGAGTCTGCCATTTTGATTCTTAACTGCTACCACACCCAGTGTGAGGGCCAAAAATTACTGATAAGTGAGCTCAGTTCTCACAGCATCTCTACTTCCTAGCTTCATCATAGTATCATTTATGTACTGATTTTTGGTATTTCAGGACACTGTCACCAATGACATCCTTTTCTTCTGAGCTTGGAGTTCATTTTGAAACTAGTCTTGAAGCTCCACATGTCATTGATGTTGACTCACAGGTCTTGATTGCTACTCAATTATCCTTAAAGTTCATTAGTCCTTTTAGCCCTGTAAGTGCTTGTTCAACAAGTTATGACCTCTTGAATTTAGGTGTGGCCTGCTATAATCTCCACTGGTCCTGGTAATTGTCCATTAAATGCAAGTTACAAAACAGCTGACGGATATGCATTCCAGGTAAGCTTGCTCAACATACATTTTTCACATTACTATTTTTGCCTCTAGAATACATCGTTTATTCTATGCTATTATTTAGGATGCAGTTGGAAAATCTTTAGAGGAAATCTTCAAGATTGTTCCAGGTGGATGTCTTGTGTTCTTTCCAAGTTATAAATTGATGGAAAAGTTATGCAACCGTTGGTCTGAAACAGGTCAATGGTCTCGATTAAATGCAGAAAAGTCCCTTTTTGTTGGTGAGTTATCCTTATCTTCTTCCAAATACTTGTGTATTGTGGATTAGGTGTATGATCTAAGTTTCTGTGGATACTTTTGCTTTTACTTTTCCTCATCCTTTTTCTGCACAAGGCATACATCTGCACAATACAAACATTAGTTGAAAGGTCATTACTTTGAAATTTATATCTGAAGTTGATCTTCTTGTCTTGGCTATATTTTTTTGGTTGTATTAAGAGTTTGTATCATGTTGGTACTTGGTATGCAGAACCAAGAGGAGGAAGCCAAGATGATTTTGAACTTGCATTAAAGGGGTATTATGATTCAATTCATCATGGCAAAAGACCTACATTGGGAAGGAGGCGAAGAATTAGGAAAATTGATCTGAATCATGTCCATGCAGTTGATTCACTACAGAATTCTAATAAAGAAGGAGCTGCTTTACTTGGTGTTTGTCGAGGAAAGGTGCATCAAAATTTGCTTTGATTTAGTAGTGCTACAGTAATATTGGCTTATAGTTTTTCCCTAGGGAGTTTGATGCTTTCATTTTGCTCTATTTTCATTGCATTACTATCTTAGTGTAAGGTGTTTAAAGATAATTGTGATTCTTTTATTTTTTTCTATGTCTGTTTATAATTGTTCTGTTAAGTCCTTTAAATTCACACAATGGGGAAGGATTGCAGGCAAGATTTGATTTTAACTTCTTTTAATCAACTGTGGAATACTTTGCCAGCTTATGGCTATTGGCTAGCTGACACTTCCGAAGTTTGTGCTATTTAATTGAAATAAACCATGATTAAAATATATTTATAAAAAACAAATATTATACATGATAATATTTATAATAGTAACCAAAAAAAAAAAAAATCAAAGTTCTGCATACCCAGTTTAACAGATAAAAGTGGATTTCATTAGGAGTGTGGTCATTCAGAATACAATTGTATTCTGATTTTTCACTTCGTGTTAACATGTAGATGTTTCAATAAATTGTATATGTGAATATTTATATTGGTGGAAAAAGATCAAAGTTCTACTTACCCAGTCATTGATTATAAACACTTCTATTAACAACTAGATGTTACTAAAATTGTGATAGAGCATGTGTCATTCTAATCTTCACTACTAGTGGTCACTAGTCTGACCAGTTTTTTCACATGTTCTCTAATCTACAGGATAACAGCCATATACTAAATTGAGTTTATGAAGCACCAGCATCAATTGTGATATCTTAAGTTGAATAATTTGTTACTAATTTAATTGATTTTGTTTCTATTTGTATGTTTATATTTGATGAGGGTCAATTTAGGAAATGACATTAAAGTAGTTTGATGCGAGTGTAAATAAAACAATTGATAATTTGATAGTGCCGATAGCATTAGCCTTTCTTAAAATGTTGTTTAATGTAAGTTGATGACATGGCCACTCAAGAAAATGAAATCATTTTACCTTTGGCATAATTGTGTGCATGACCTTATTATACGATTCAATTTCAATCAACATAATATAATGCTTGTATTGCAGGTTTCTGAAGGAATTGATTTCTCCGATGATAATGCCAGAGTAGTTGTATCCTTATTTCCACTTTTAATATGTTTTTCACCTCTTTTGGTTGGGAAGAGATCTTGATCTCCCCTGTGGCTATGTTATATATTTAGAAGACTGAAAGAAGGTATATTCTCAGATTATCAAATAAATAATAATGGTTACGACTGAAAAAGGGCAGTTTGTTGGTAGCCTATAATGGGTTTGATCACATACATTTCAAATTTTGATAATTGATGTAAATGTTAACTATAGATTGTACATTCTTGACAATCCAAGATTATTGTTGGTATTCCATTTCCCAATATGTAAGAATCCTTTCTTTTTTTCTTATGCATTTTCTTGAATAAGGAATCCTACTGTGGGAATAAATTATCTGATTGCCTGATATGTTATAACTTAACAGAAATGATATTCAAGTTGCACTAAAGAAGAAATATAATGACACATACAAATTATCCAAAAATCTTTTGAGTGGAAATGAATGGTACTGCCACCAAACATTTCGAGCTTTAAATCAAGCTGCAGGTAAGACTTATTTCTCCCTCCCCCCTCCCTCCCTCTCTCTCTCTCTCTCTCTCTACACACACACACGTTCATATTCAAACCAAAGCTGATTTTATTTATCAAATTTTTACTGATTACCTTTATTTTCTTTAGGGCGCTGTATACGGCACAAACTTGATTATGGAGCAATCATTCTACTGGGTATGAACTGCCAACTATTTCAGTTCTATTTCTCATCCAATTTATATGTTGTTTAGAATTTAGAAAATTATTTTTTATATTTGGAAGGGTAGAGGTGGAATTCACTAAGTTTATGGAGCAATGAACTGCCAACTATTTCAGTTCTTTTTCTCTTCCAATTTATATGTTGTTTAGAATTTAGAAAATGATTTTTATATTTGGAAGGGTAGGCGGAATTCACTAAGTTTTCTGGAGTACGCAAAATGTTACCCCAGTGGTTGCTGTGTAAAGGTTTACAGCTGCATCAGACAGAAATTTAAAACCATTATCTTTACCATTAGTGATAACAAATTTGGGAGAACCACAAAGTTAGCTGATGTAGTTGGAGAGTCCAAGGCTTTATAAACCCTACACTGGAGTCATATTCTTCCTATGTGGGACTCAAGTCTCATAACCTGCAATTAGATCCTTACATTCCATACACTTTGTAGCCTCAGAGTCTACATGGGCTGGCTGTGCACTGATCATCCACACCACTCATATGCAGCTGAGAAACATGGTAGAAGGCTGTAATACCAACTGATAAGAGCCTTGGGAGAACCAAATCATAAAAGCTAGCCATTGTAATTGAAAAGCTTAAGGCATCCCTTGATAGGATATAATTCCTTTAATCATATTTTGAATTTTTGTAGACAGCATACCATTGGCAAATATTCTCCCATGAAACATAAAAATTATCATGACAGTTATTCCCATGGTGCAAGTGTGCAACCATGTAAGCAGGCCTTCTGTCTTGCAAACAACCATTTTGGTTTAGAATATAATAATCTAGAGCTTTTATTCATGTGATGATATGCAATTGCAATGCAAATATGCAATTTATTCTTGAACTAAGGTTTATTTTGACACCATTCTCTTTATTACCATAACTATTAACTTCCAACCATTTTTACTATCATAATCGGTGTAATTATTCTTGCGGAAATAGATGAACGTTTTCGGGAAGAAAGAAATAGAGCATTCTTTTCAAAGTGGCTAAGAAGACCATTGAGAGTGTATGACAGCTTTGATTTGTCATTGGTGGGACTAAAATCATTCTTTGAGGATGCCAAGGTACATGGTGTGTTGGCTTATCCTACTCTACCCTGTTCCTCTTCACGGTTTAGTGGGAAAAAGGATATTAATACATGGTCAACTTGCTGTAGGAACGTTATGGCATGAATAAAGTGCATGTCATGCAAAAATTGGGCTCAAATAGTGATGATGTCCCAGACAAGGATCAGAATATGAGGTTCACAAGGAAAAAAAAACATAAACAGAACAAGTCTGGTTGTGGAGATGGGAGAGAAACATCAGTGATTGAGAATAACATCTCTTTTCCCATTCTAACCTCTCAAGATCTTGGTGAGTGTCAGCCATCAGCCCAATGGAATAACAACACATACAATTGTAAAGCTCAACCAGAAGGCTGTAATCAGACAGAGCCAAGGTATATCTCTCTCTTTTTGTGTTGCCACCATTTTATTGTAATTGGTAATTTGGTATGGTTCACTTTTTCATAACTAAACATTTAAACCTAATGTTAAACATATTAATGGGACCTGGGGCCAAAATAGTCAAGATGGGCCCAGGAAGGACAGATCCTTCAGGTTTACACCAGTAAGTCTAAGGCTTCTAGAACTTAGGCAATCAGCAAAAGGCATGTGATTGGAGAGTGGTGGGGAGTTAGTTGTAGTGAGAGATTATGATGACAGAGAATATAGGACACATAATTGTGTTGAGAGAGGAAATATTGAGAAGCATTAGAATGAATCCGTGTATTTAGGGCACAATGGAGTTATTTAATTTTATAGGGAAGTACATAATTACAAAATATACAGTTACTATATTTATAAGATTTTAACATATTCTAACACTCCCCCTCAAGTTGGAGCATATAGGTCATATGCACCAAGCTTGTTATATATGTAGTTAATTCGAGGACCCCTTAGTGACTTAATAAATATATCTGCTAGTTGATCATGGAAATTGACAAAATTAGTAGATATTTCCCCAGATATCACTTTTTCTCTGACAGAGTTGCAATCAATTTCAATGTGCTTTGTCCTCTCATGGAATACTGGATTTGAGGCAATGTGTATGGAGGCTTGATTATCACATATAAGTGACATGTGTAACCTCTTTGAACTTTATTTCTTGAAGCAACTGCTTGAGCCATATAAGCTCTTGACTCGCTATAGCCATAGTTCGATACTCCGCTTTCGCACTGGACCAGGCTACAACACTCTGCTTCTTACTTTTTCAAGAGACAAGGTTATCTCTGATAAATATACAGAATCTAGAGGTTGACCTTCTATCTATGGAAGATCTTGCCTGATCTGCATTAGAATACCCCACAACTTGAGTGTGTCATTTGTCTTCATACAAAAGATCCTTTCTTGGAGCTTCTTTGATGTATTGAACAATGCGAGTCACTGCATCTCAATGTTCTTTACATGGAGAGTTGAGGAAATGACTTACTACACTCACTGCGAATGAGATATCTGGACGGGTAACGATGAGGTAGTTCAGCTTCCCTACTAATTGTCTATACCTTTCAAGATCTAGAAGAGGCTCCCCTTGACTTGGCAGGAGCTTGACATTTGGATCCATGGGAGTGTCAACTAGCTTGGAAGTTAACATTCCTGATTCTTCCAGAATATCCATTGCATACTTCCTTTGAGAAATGATGATCCCATTTTTAGATTGTGTTATTTCTATTCTCAAAAAATATTTGAGTTGGTCAAGATCCTTTGTTTGTTTGAAAATGTTTGAAGAGATGCTGCTTTACTTGTGCGATGCTACGATGATCACTACCTATGATGACAATGTCATCAACATAAACAACCAGGTAGATGCAACCGGTAGGTGAGTGACACAGAATGGTCAGCTTCACTCCAAGTCATGCCAAACTGTTGAATCACAATACTAAATCTGCTGAACCATGCTCTGTGTGACTGCTTGAGGCCATATAAAGATTTTTGCAGTCGACAGACAAGACCAGAGGACTCCCCTTGAGCAACAAAGCAAGGAGGTTGCTCTATGTAGACTTCCTCGAGTAGATCACCATGTAAGAAAGCATTCTTGATGTCTAATTGATAAAGAGGCCAATGATGTATGGCAGCAATGGACAGGAATAGTCGCACAAAGAGCAATTTGGCCACGGGAGAGAAAGTGTCACCATAATCCAACTTGAAGATTTGAGTATAGCCTTTGGTGATGAGACGGGCCTTAAACCGGTCAACCTTACTGTCTGGACCAACCTTGACTGTATACATCTACTGACAACCAACAACTGACTTCCCTAGTGGTAGAAGAACGAGGTCTCAAGTTCCATTATGTAATGTACACATCTCGTTTAGCATAGCTTGTTGCCATTCTAGATGGGCAAATGCATCACCTGCATTCTTAGGAATAGAAATAGAGGACAAGGAAGAAAGGAATAATAATAAGGAGAAAGACGATGATAAGTTAAAAAAATATAATGAGGAGAAGGATTACGAGTAGAATGTATACCTTTTCGAAGGGCAATGGGGATGTCAGGTTTAGAAGGCGGGATTGGAAGATGAGACAAAAGAGGTGGCTTCAAAGGTGAGTTCATGGTGTTGTTAGCGCTCGGTGGCTGCAATATAGGACAAGTACGATACTGATAGACCTGCAAAGGTGGAGGAGATGGGTGTGGAGGGGATGAAGACTTCTCTGGAGGACAGAAAAGGATTGAAACAGGAGCAATTGTGGATGGGGAAGACTCGAATGTAGATGTTCTAAGCCCAAAGAATGGAAAGGACTCAAAGAAAGTAACATCAGTAGAGATGAAATACCTACGAAAAGTAGGAGAATAACACTTGTATCCTTTTTGAGATCGTGGGTACTTGAGAAAACACACTTATGAGACCGAGGAGAGAACTTGTCAATGTCAGGACTAAGAGCATGAGTAAAACATGTAGAACCAAAGACCCGAGGTGGTAAAGGATGAACAGAGTGGTAAGGGTATAGAACTTAATGAAGGATTTTACCTTGTATAACAGAGGAAGGCATGCAGTTAATGAGATAACACGCAATAAGTACCGCATCACCCCAAAACTGATAAGGAACATGAGAGTGGAGAAGAAGAGTCCCGGTGGTCTCAAACATATGTCTATTTTTGCGTTTTGCAACTCCATTCTGTTGGGAGTATGAGGACAAGATGTTTGATGTAACACACCATGAGATGCCATAAAGGTCTGAAACTGAGTAGACAACTCACGTACATTATCCACTTTGTAAAGTGCGAATAGGGATACCAAATTGATTTTTTATTTCATAAAAAAAAGATTGAAAAATTGAAAAAATTTCTGAACATTTTTTCATTAAATATAACTAAGTACAATGGAAAAAATCATCTGTAAAAGTAACAAGTATCTGGACCCTAATGTAGAAGAAATACGACTTAGACCCCAAACATCTGAATGAACTAGAACAGAAGGGGACAAAGCCAAACTCAGTGCGACTAGAAAAAGAATTATGAACATGTTTTCCTGATTGACATAAGTCACAAGATAAAGACTCTAACTTAGAAAGACTAGGGTATAACTGTTTCATCTTATCAAGACTTGGATGTCCTAATCAAGCATGAATCAGAAGTGAAGATGTTGCTGTCGAACCAACAAGAGAAGGCTTGCTGAGCTGATAGGGACTCACATCTAGAGCCAATCGTCCTCCCTGTACTCTGGTCTTGCAAGGAAATTGAATTTTTAGTAAAAGAGATGACACAATCAAGAAACCAGGTAAGTTGACTAATGGACAATAAATTAAAGGAGCTCCGGGACATAAAGGACATTTTGAATAGAAAGAGAAAGAAGAAGATGAACAACAGCAACACCTTAGGACTGAGTTTGAGAGTCATTTGCCATGGTAATAAAAGGTAAATAACCAGAATTAGAAAGAGAAGAAAAAAGAGATTTATTACCAGTGATGTGATTAGTGGCCTCAGAGTCAAGGACCCAAGGGCCTGAAGAGTGAGAGACCAACGAAGGAATTACTAGTGTGTGCAACAGCAGCAGTGGAATTGGAGGCCTGACGATCTTTATACCATTTTAGGAAATCATAATAGGAAGGTGATGGGTTTGGATCCAAAGCCAACGATAGAGCAGAAGTGGACGAAGGAAACGCAAAACTTTGAGCCACCTGAGCAGTGCGAGGAGGTCGACCATGTAGAGTCCAACACTTATCAATTGTGTGTCCCGGTCGGTGGCAATGATCACACTAGAGACATCCTTTGCCACCTTTTTGCTATGGAGGTCGGTTGATGTTGCGAGAAACCAAAGCAAAAGAATCAATAGGAATAGAAAGCAAAGGCTTAGAGGAGGCTTTGGAGGGGACACGAAGGAGAGTCGTCCAAGTACTGTCTTTAGTAGCTTTTGTGAGGCTACCTAGGATTTGATCATGAACATGAGAATAATTTATGGGCAAAACGAATAGAGCAGGGACATGAAAACTTGTGATTTTCAAGTTCTGCAACTGGAGTGGCAGCAGGAGGAAGCAATTCATTGAACTCACAGAGAAGGCTAGACACCTAGCCAAGATAGGTCGACATAGAATCCTTAATATGATGGGCACTAAGGATAGTGTTGTTGGGCCTGTGTCCAAACAGCTTTGTGCGAAAGACATCATGAAAAGATGGGTGAATGGTGGCTCGGATAATACAGCACAACTGAGTGTCAACTTTTTTCCACAGAGGGCAGTCGGCCTTCGAGACATCATCTTCTGTTTGGGTGAGATGTGCCTCATAACTCTGTCCAACAAGCCAAAGTTTAATGTAAGAAGTCCAAGAGGAGTAATGCTTACCATCCAACTGCTCAGAAGAGAGAGGTGCAGTGACATAGTTGGCAAAAATTTGAGTGTCAGATTTTGAAGTGCTGGAGGTAGCCATTGGTAAGTGAGAAGAAAGAGAAAAAATGCCCAAACAATAGCAAAAAAGGGCAAAACAAGGGCGAATAGATGTTCAAACAATCAACTGAGACCAGATACAGGTAGAGGAGAGGGGCGAGCAAACCCTAGTCAATGGCGTTAGGAAAGGACGCTGGACGCGTCATCATGAGCGGAGAGAGAGGGTGGCGCATGAGAAAACATGACAAACAAGAGGGTGACCACAACGGCGGGGTTGTCGTAGGGATTAGAGGTTAGACAGCGGAGGCAGTGTCAGAACAATGGCGGATGGTGGCGGTGGCGCCAGAATAGGTAGATGAAATGTCGAAAACCAGAAATGAAACACAGTTTTTGAAAAAAAAAAATTGGCGCCGGTGAACAATGGGTCCACTGGAAAAAAAAAACACGGATTAGGGTTGCCTCTCCTTAGGTTCTAGATACCATGTTGAGAGAGGAAATATTGAGAAGCATTAGAATGAATCTATGTGTTTAGGGCACAGTGGAGTTATTCAATTTTATAAGAAAGAGTACATAATTACAAAATATAAAGTTACTATATTTACAAGATTCTAATAGATTCTAACAAATTGTATGGGGACAAAGGGGAAAAATTGAGAAGAAATTATTTCTGCTCTTCATCTTCATATTTTGATTCTATTTCTTACTTTTTTAACACATACTAAACCATTCCCAATAAGAGTTCTTTCCTATTGCATATCTGGTTTGAGGAATCGGTGTAGTTAATTCCTTCCTTGGTAAAATCACCACGTTGGTATATTTTGGCCTTCAAAGTTCAGAGACATGCAAGAGATATTTTAGGCACAATTGATAGTTTTTACTTTTTACACCATCAAATAGCAATCATATAAATTTTAATTTAGTTAGCAATCTTTTTTCATTCATTAAACAATTACAATATGATTACTTGTTGAAAATTATGGTTCTTACAGGTTCTCCGGGGAATCATTTGTGGCAATCAGACATGTTGGCAGTGATCCTGGTAGTCCTGATTGCTCCAAGTATGACAACTCTGGTTCTACCATAATTGAGTCCTTTGCTCAATTTCCAGATCACTTATCAAGTCTTCCAATGTCTTCAACCAATGGAAGTAAAAATTCTTCAAGGGCCCAGTCTTCAATAACAATAACTCCTGAAAAGAATGCAACAAATTATATACAAGAAATGGAATCATCTTTGAATTTAAGTGTCAATTCTCACAATCAGAAAAGGAGAAAACCCTTGGTCACACCATTTATAGACCTCACTGAAGAAGAAAATTATATTGCACCTTGTGCCAGTCCTCTTACACGGTACACAAAAAGCTCAGTGGATGTTAAAGAGATAACTCATGGATGTGAGAATGGTTTTGAGAGAACTTGGGATTCAAATTGTCCGTTACTGACCAGCAATATACCTATTTCATGTTCATTAACTGTTCCTCTACTGGACAAAAGGTTACAGATATTTTGTTCATTCTGCAAAAGTCCATTGGGCCGACCTGAGAACCATCTATATCTTACATGCTCGTTGATTACATCATCAAAAGCTCATTTAAGATCCCTTTTGAAACAGAGACTGAAAACTTATGCTACTGATACTTTAAAGAGCATACCAGTTATTATTACTGATCCTTCATTTGTTGATCAACGAATTTGTAATAGAACACCTAACAGTGAACCAGAACAAGGAATTTGGTGTCCAAAAGATGGGTGTGTCTTCAGCACTATTTTCTGTCCCTTCTGCAGTAATGCCAACAATTTGCTAGGAGTTCAGATCATGGCAACCAATTCATCAAATGTTCAGTTACTTAACAAGGTGACTTTTACAACCAGGGTCAGGGAACCTTTATTCACTTGTGCATGAATTTTAATATCCCTTTTTGCGTTTTTCTTTGACGTTCCAGTTCCAGCTTTGTCAATTTTGTCTGTTTCTGTTTTTTCAATTATATTTTTCACTAATTTCTGCCCAGATATTGTTTTACTTTGATTCTTTGGAAGTGAAGAACCATGAGGAATCCGGGAATGAGACTTCAGGGGAAGTGGTAAGGTTAAAATTACATGGCTTGTTAGTCTTTTCCCTGGCACTGATACTAAGCTGTTTTCTAAGTGACAGTGGCCAATATGTTTTCTAACATAATGCCAATAAAATTTATTTTATGGATGTGGAAAAATGTTTGAAACTTGAATTAAATAACAAAACTTCTCAAAACACTCTTTTTATCTGTACTTTAGAAATTGTTCTTCATGCATGCTGAAGTACAGAACTATATAATATATAAATGAGCTAGAAACTTGTGCGACGTTATATGCTAACATCTTCTGAATTGCTATAGGATCTGTTACCAGTTAATGACTCAGCTGTGGATGAAATTGCTGCCTTGAATTCCTTTGATAAATATTCTTATTTTCCCCAACCAGGGAATTCAAAAGTCTGGAAGACTAGAAAATCTAAGGTAAGAATTTAGGTATTGCTTGAAGCATATTTTGTTAATAGGTATACTTTGTCTTAGAGTTGTTTGTAAATGATGCAGCAAGGGCTTGCCTTGTGCAGCAAGCCAAAATAGAAGCTTGTAAGGCTGGAATTATAATGCAGTTTTTGCAACCATGTTATGAACACAGATTAAGGAGGGGATGCTGGTTTCTTAAAAATTGAATTAAAAAATATATTTTTTGACATCAATCACATTTAATGTAAATAATTTTTCTATTTGAATTGTATTTTCATATATTTCGTAGTCTATTGCCTTCAATTGAGTAGATATCAAAAGTTGGGAAACACCAGTCATTCTGGACCTTTCTGCAGTAGTTTTTTTTCCCTTCAGCAAGTTAAAGAAGTATTCTATTTCTATGTAAGTGTATCAGAAATTTACCAAAATAACAGAATGACCGATATTGCTGTGGAGCTTCTCTAAAGCAAGTCTTGCAATGGTGCTTTCTTTTGTGCATTTTTAGGAAGACGATTTTACATATCCTGACTCATTATAGTTGAGTTCTTCAGTAAAACATCCGATAGTGCACTCCTTTCCGCGTCGAACTAAGTTCAAGTAAGTAGTTGCGGACTTCTTGTGTGGATGTTTTACCACGGTCCTTGCAGATAGTAATATTATTACTTATACTAAAATTATTTTTAACTTAAAATGAAATTCATTATTATATTCTCGAATTGTAATGTGTAAAATACTTAATTAAGTAAAGATAAAGACCTAATTGAAATAATATAAATATTATTTTAAACTTTGCTTCTCTTTTTTAGTTGACTGCTATTTGAATTGGTAGAAAAATAAATAAATAAAAATTATTTCAAAACAAGAAATGAATTATCATGAAAGTATTAAGGTTTACCTTGAGTCTTTTGAATTCAAACTTAACTAGGATTAGGATGTAGCTCAAGTTATAGTACTTAAATTTGGGTGATTTTTAAGTGAGGTGAAAGTTCACATTTTTAACTATAAATTTTGCATAAGAATTACAGAAAAAGAATCACAAAATAGGATGTATATGATGTGAGATGTAATTGGGAGTTATTTTGGAAAAAAAAAAATTAGAGTTTTGAATTAAGAGATTATGAACCTTAAAAAATAGAAATTGGTGAAAACTAAATCGATACCTTAAGAATAAAATTAGAGTGGAAAGACTCTGAATGGTGTCATAAATAAGAATGCTTAAGAAGTCAAAGAGATTGTCATAAGAATTGGTGAATTCATGATAAAATTAATGGTTTCAAGAAAGAACTTTAGTAAAGAAGACTCACTGAATATTTATTCCTAAGTATTTATTCCTAAGTACAGTTCAATTTAAGAGTTTAAGTATAATTGATATGTTCTAGTAGTTAAGTGGACACATTTAGCTAGTTAACACTTAAAAAGGTTTATCTCGATATTAGTCTAGACTTTCTTTGAAATGAAGATTTTTTTTCTTAAAATGTACTCTTATCCAATCATCTTATTCAAATATTACCTTTCTACTTCTTTTATTGAGATGTTTGGCATACTCTTCCATTTTATTTTTGTCAGATTGAGTCTTGGCCTTTTCTTCAATTTCTTGACATATTTATTCTCCAATTGAGAGATGTTAGACATATTTATCCTCCAATTGAGAGATGTTAGACAAAGGCATCAAATTCAAAGGTGTCAGAAGATTAAAACTATAAATAACCTGAAATGCAAAACAATTAGTAGTGACATGAATAGTCTTATTATATGTAAACTTTACTAAGGTAAACACTCCTCTTATGACTTGATGTTTTTCTTTACTATAGTTTTAAGAAGAGTAGACAAAGTTCTATTAACAACCTTTGTTTATCCATCATTTTGAGAATGCCAAGTAATAGAAAACAAAAGTTTAGTTTCAATCTTTTCTACAATATCCTCCAAGAATGACTTAGAAATTAAGTCACTATCACTTACTTACAATGCTCCTTGCTTAAGAATGTGATGTAAACTAGCTTTCTCAACACAAAAAAAGTAAAGAATTAAATGTGGAACTACTAAAATGCAACATGTACAAAACTTATCTCACACAAAATAAGTCAACTAAGTCTTCTATATAACTATTAGATATGACTCTCAAGACTCAAAAATAAATGAACTCCAAGTGACGGGTCTTAAGCTTCATGTATATAAAAGTAAGTTATTCCTTTCATGATTAGGCAAAATCATATCCAATAAGCCAAATTTAGTGAATTTAAAAGCCGCCTAACTTTTGTGAGTTTTTTTTTTTTGGCCTATTTAAGGTTAATTTAAAAATAAATTATCTAAATAGGGTATTTATAAAATATATTCCTTGTCTAAGGTTATTTTTGACACGTGACACTTATTTTTAATAATAAAAAAATGAATATCATTCCTTATAGGATGACATTTATCTTTTAATAATAAAAAAAATAAGTATCGTCAATGTAAATAAAACAAAGGAATTAGAGTAGACACAAGTGAGATTGGAGTAGGAGTAGTGCTAAGTAATGAGAGTGGATTTGGTTTGTCAACTACCTTAAAAGCAAACTAAAATGGATCCAAGGCATGCCTCTCTTGACTTTGTCAAATATGGATCCAGCTTGTCCAAGCATCAAACATCAATTATTGTATCCTCAACCTTGAGATTTTCCCTAACTCTAGACCAAATATAACCTATCCATCCATTTGTCATCCTTGAAATTTCATATCATAGCCACACTACACCAATCATTTTCTTACTCTCTATTGTAGCCCCAAGGAAAAAGGTAAAAACACACTTCTCTTCCTCATATTTTTCTCTAAGACTACACAAACACACGAGTCCATCAAACCCTCAACTTGAAGCTGCTTGTTCTAGTAATCTTGAATGGATGGATGGAACATCCAAGAACGGAGAGAGGAGAGAATCTTAGTAACATAGAACACTATCACCAATCCAAAAACCCAAGGCATAAGCATAAACTCGATGAAGAAAGTAATTGATCCAGAAGGCATTAGAGTTCCGTTTTATTTCATATGACTTATTTTTTAATAACAAAAAAATAAGTGTCACAACTCTTTTTTATAAAAGATCAATGACATCATGCATCATTACCCCCAACATGAGATAAAAATATACGTAGATTATAAAGGTGTACCTTTCAAAAATTAAACTTCGACAACAGAATAACAAAATTATGAGGGCATTTTCATATAATTCAAAAATTACACTAATATACATATTTACAACAGTTGCTCTACATGGAGCTCAAAATATAATTTTTATAAACAAAGCGAACTCGCTTTGGAAAAAAACGTATTTGTAGCTTATATGCCATGGGAATGTTACAATTCTAAGGATGCTATACTCATTGGTGAGTGTTTGGTCTATAAAGATAATTTTTCTTCTTTTCACATATGGAAATATGAAATTCAGACTCATATGACAAGCCAAGGTTCTAAAAGAATCATTAATCAAATTCTGCACCTAGAAGCCCATTTACTCCAAAATTTAGGCAAAAATGGAATTGTGATCCTGGGATCTTGGGTAGAAGCGGGCAATATTTTAGTGGGTAAATTAACGCAAAATAGTCTAGACCCATTACTAAGATTTAGACTAACAAAATAAATAAAGTTACAATCTTCACAAAAACACTTAACTCCATGGTCTTCCTTAGTCAGACCTTCCAGCATGAGAAGTGAATGTCTCACCTGTCACACCTGCTCACATATAACTGTACGACCATTGCAGCACACACACACATATGCTAACACAGACAATTGTAAGAGTGAACTTATGAAATCAACAGTCATCATTATAGAATATGAAAATATCAAAAAGGTTTATACAACTCAATTGATGCAACATGTTCAACCTATTCTTAGCCCATTTAATACAGATGCAACAATTCAATTCCAGTTAGTTTCACAACTTAAGTAATCCAAAGAAACTATTTTTGGTCTTGGAGCGACCCATCCTGTTATCAAGATTCAAACACAACACAACTTAGTATTTTTATTGTTACATGTTTAACTACCTAAACATGTAACTCAGCTCTAAAATGATTGAAAATCAATATGATGCAGCACATTTATATATACACTTATATATTCTACTATGAAACTAAGTAGCTCACAACACTTATCAAATATTTCAGTATGTCATTTTCTACCACAACATTCCAAACATTTATCAAATAATAGAGAAATATACTCATACATGCTTTGGATTCTAACCTAAGATTTGCTCATACAACAATTATTCTTAGCTAAAACGAAATTAATTATCCAGATATATCAGCATCTACGGAATGAACAAGGCCAGCTCAGGTAAGTTTCCGTAATCTGGGATGGGTTCCCTTAGATCTAGGTCCACGAGAGTTTCAGAGTTTCAAAGTCTTAGATCACCGCATTATTGAAAAAAAGAAACCTTTGAGAAGAGAAACCAAAAGAAAAGGAGGGATGAAATAGGGAACCCTTCTGCTGTTTGTCATTTTCGCTGCAACGAGAATCTCCTCACTACAGTGAAAATATCTTACTACAGCGAGAGAGCTTCATAAGTCCTTGTTTTGGAAGATCCATTCTCACTACAACGAGAGACATCTTGCTACAGTGAGATATCCTATAGTTCAACCTAACCCAAATTCCTCCAACTCATACAACATGCATAAACTTTTTACTCAGCAACCATACAACTTATACATACATAAATTCAAGTCATCTCACACCACAACCAATCATACAATATCACACTCAAAACACTGAGACGCCATAGTTAAATGAATACATCATCAGTTCTAAAAGAAAATAGGTATACACCCAACACAGGCTTGACAATAAGTATCGTCCATATATCTTTATAAGATATGATACTCATATTTTTATTATTAAAAAATAAGTATTGTCCCTATGATAGGCGATATTCATGCCACATGTAAGAAATGACTATAGATAGAGAATATGTTTTATAAATACCTTATTTTTAAAACAACCCTAAATAGTCAAAAAAAAAAAAAAAAACCACCTTATGTCCAAAATCATCAACATCCAGCATTAAAATCACTTTACTTTCACATCCAAAGTTAAGATAGTAACTTTCACTTTTCTTCGTCTCTCATTCTTGGTTAAATCAAGCTAAAAAGTACCAAAGACTTACCTTGTCTTTACTTACCTTGTCTTTTTCACTTTCATGTTCAAGTATCAATCAAAGTAAGCAACTTTGGATGATTCTACGATCCTCCCATTTACTTTGAAAAGTTAGAGAATTATAAAAGGAATACTTTTGAATAAGCAAAATATAAATTATTTAAGATCATTGATTTGATTTTGTAGTAAACGAATGGTTAGGATTGATAAAAAAAAAAAAAAACTGAATGAGTAACCTATATTAAATCTTAGTCATAAAGGGTAGAAAAATAAATTGTTCTGTTTATGTGTCCTACTGTTGATTATATTTTTGATGGTGCAAAATCAATATTAAAGCTTAAATAATGTAGATTGTTAATTTTCTAAAAGAATCAATAACATTTTTGTGTTGGCTTGATTCTCTTCTTTGGTAGCAAATCCTTAAATTAATAAACTTAAAATTGACATCTTTAAACATTTTGTCGATAAAGCTTGAACATTGACAATTTAATCACAACACTTTAACATTATATGTCATTTTTAGTTTTCGTTCCTATTAATTCGTCTGTTAGCACATGAGCTTTGTGCGCAACCTTCATTTACAAAAGAAATGCTAATAATGTTTGAAACTTCTATATTAAATTTTATAAAAAATTATTAAGTAATTTTTTTTTTAGTTTTATTAAATAATGAGATCAATTTATACACATAATAATACTACAACAGGAGAATAATTCAGCATCATTTTAAAACAATTCAAATTGTTCTAACAAGTAGTGTTATTCAAAGTGAATAAATTTGTAAATTGGTGTTATTTAATAGTGATTTTTATAACCACTCTCTAAAATATGAATCACAAATCTAAAATTTAAAATTTATTTTTTTTATAATTTGTTATTACAAATCAATATTTATTTATTTTTATATTTAAAATCAAGTTTGTATTTAACAAATTTAAAATTTCTTTTTTTTTATGAATTTTTATCATAAACTAAAATTAATTTTTTGTCTCTTTAAATTTTGAATTTATATATTATATTAATTAAATAATTTATATCTAAACGAAACACTATTAAACAAAAGAAAAAAATAAAAAAATAAGAAATTTTATCGTTAACCGAAAGAAAATAGAGATAAATGTAAAAAAGGTATTTATAATTATAAAAAAATATTAACTTTATTAGCATAAAAAAAAATAAAAATTCATAACCGTTTCAAAAGATATAAACTAACGGGGTAGAAGAAAAGTATAAAATGACATGTTTATAAATAATAAAACATTTAAAAGTCTGTAAAAGAATCTAAGCATCATTTGTTGTAATCATTATAAATATCAGCCTTCGTAATGCGATAAGACACTGTACTGCTGTGAATTGAGAGAAGGAAAAGGAAAATGGCCAACACAAACATAATAAAACTAGAAGAAGAAAGCAAAAAAGTGGATGAAAAAGAGGCAATACCCCTTCTCACCCCATACAAGATGGGAAATTTTAATCTATCCCACAGGTATGCCTTGTGCATGCGTGAAGCATGATCTTACATCCTTTTGTTATTCTCGAAATCATCATTTTGCATGTTCTGTTCTTCACTTTTGATGTGCATTAGCGACGTGTGGTTTAACTTATGATGTTTGATACGATAGGATAGTATTGGCACCATTAACACGATCAAGGTCTTACGACTTCATCCCTCAGCCGCATGCTGCTCTGTATTATTCTCAAAGAACAACAAAGGGTGGCTTCTTGATAGGGGAAGCCTCTGGGGTGTCTAATACGGCACAGGGGTAATCTTTGATTGTCTGAAATTTATTTATTAATTTGAAACAAATGGAAATTCAATCTATAGAAATTAGAATGAATTGGCCACACAAAGATTATCTTGTGTTTTTGAGTTTGTCTTGTTTGGATGATCAAAGGTACCCTAATACACCTGGCATTTGGACAAGAGAACAAGTGGAAGCGTGGAAACCCATTGTAAGCACTGTTCATGAGAAGGGAGGGATATTCTTCTGTCAACTTTGGCATGCGGGAAGAGTTTCCAACTACGGTATCATGCCTCTACTTTTCGTATCTCTTCCACTAAATATAATTATATCTAGCAACTATATCATTTTGTTGAATAAGCATTTCCAAAAGATAAAATTTAAATTTAAAATTTTTTATTTATACAGTTATTTCACTAATAAAATTTTTTGGTTAAAATATACTTTAAGAGGATATATTTTAATGATAATAATCATTAATAAATCTTTACATCATGCATAATTTTATCATATCTTGTTTTAAATATTTCTATTTAAATTTCACCTATTTTTTTATTCATCTTTAACATCTTACAAACTTACTATTTGATAATTGAATAAATGAGACGATTAACAAGAGATAAAATTATAATAATTAGTTGAGGTTAATATCTATAATGCTAAGTGAGATTTAACTGAAAAAGTTAGTAAAATTAGAGCTTATTTGCTTCTCTTTTGCTTTTAACTCTTAAAAATAATTTTGAAAACCTTTTATAGAAGAAAATAAAAATAAAACTTGTTTATTAATTTAGTTTTCAAAATTATTTTTAAGACGAAAAAAATAAAATAAAAAACAGTTCAATAAATTTTTTAAAAACAAAGTTAAATGAAAAAAAAATTGTTTGGTTTTATTTGTTTTTATTTAATATTTTAAATTAAATGAATATATATATATATATATCTGATATTTAATTTTAATATTTTTCTTTACTTAAATATATTTTTATATTTAAAATAAAATATTAAATTGAAAAATTATTAAAACATAAAAATATAATTAATTTTGAACTGAATTTTTTTTATGAAGAAATACTTGCAATTTATAAGTTTTAATAAATTATAAAAATTACAAGATATAATTAATATCAAACTAAAAAATAATGATTAATTTTATATTAAAATAATTTTTAATAAATAAATATAAATAGTGTAAATAAGTAATTTTATAAAGAATAACATTAATACACTAAAACAAGTGAATATGTGTATAAAAATATTTTTAGCTATTTTGAGAAGAGAAATGAAAAACCTAAAACCAAAATACCTTAGAAGCTATTTTTTTTTTAAAATTTTAATAATTAAAAATGAAAAATTATTTTTAAAAACTTAAGTTGATAAACAAGTTTTTATTCTTTTCTATTATTAAAAATATAAATTTATACTTTAAAAGAAAAGCAAATAGACTCTTAGTTTTTTTTTATTGGTTAGATCTTTTAATTTTCTTTTATTTTGATCCTTATTGATTTATAACTAATTTTTAAACATTCAAGTAAACCAGTATTTATTAACATGTTTCATTTTTTGTTATTTTTTTTATTGAATCATATTTATTTATTATTTTATTTGATTAAGGTATAATAATTCTAATTTGAAATCGGTCATTACTTTATTTTTATTAGAATCTAGCTTCTAACAAATTAAGTGACTAAAAGGTTGGTTTTAGTAATTTATTTTTGTTAGTTAAATGTTAAGTTAACTACCAAAATTTAAATTTAATTAATATTTAAATAGATGCAATAGTTGATGTAACATTCTTTTCTCATTTATCTATTTTCTTTTATTAAAAAAATATGATATATAGTATTAAAACAGTTGAAAGATAGCTGAGTGTAGAAAGTATTTTTAAATACTTAGATTTTAATTTGAAAAAAAGGTGAAAATTTAAACTATTTATATACATTTGAATATTCTTGAATTTCATTTTAAAATAATCTAAATTATCATATTAATAATTCTTTTCAACAATTTTATCAAAATAATTCAACTCCAAATTAAAACTTTCATCAATATAATTATACAGAGTACATGACTTTGAATAGAAAATATTCACAAATATCTTTACATTTCTCTAGTTCTAATAAATTAAACTTTTCAAAGCAATCCCCTCCTACCCTTCCTTGCAGGCATGACTCTAGAATGAACAGACATTCTTTACCTGAAAAAATAGTTGTAAGGGTGAGCATCCCTTGCCCACTAAATCTTAAAAAAAAATATACAAGAACAATGCATATAGTATTTTAAAAATCTACATATAGTACATTCAATACATTCCATTTCTAAACAATTCAGTTATCATTTGACTAATTAACATATATTTCTCGTTATATAATATTATATCTCAATTATTCAATTCATTCCACTTTATCATATTAACTTTAATATATTACTAAAATTTCTATTCAAGGTTCATATATTCTATATTTCTTCTAGTATACACATGCATAATAATTTCTATTATTCTTGAGAATTAATTACTCATTCACATCAATTTCCTCCTGACTTAACTTGTCAATCAAATACACAATCATAAGACATAGAAACATATCACTTTCCACTTTATAACTTTGTGCCACATTACTTCGCACTTAATCAGATATCATCATCTAATCCATAAATTTTGTGCCACATTATCCATTTCTCATCTGAATAGTTTATCAATTCAATAGTACTCTAGGTACCCTTGGCCCCTAAATCGCTGCCAACATACTCTCTAGTTACGAAAGACTTACGCAGTATAGATAGTCTTTGGTGAGCCAAACCACACACGGATACAACGTGTGCGTTCACGGCCTTCCAAACAAAGGTATATAGTTAGGAGTTCGGTCAAGAAATGAGCGTGAGGCCTGTAAATGCTTCCCAGAAAGGACTCTCGCTACAGTGACAAATTCTCGCTGTAGCAAAAGGAGCACAAATTAACCCTCTTCACAATAAGCATTCTCGTTGCAGTGAGGGTGTCTCGCTACAGTGAGAAACTTCCAGAAGCTAACTTTTTCTGCAATTTCATGCTTTGTATGTTCTTTTTTTGCCTTTTTCTGATCATCTTCAACTTTAAATGATGTCTCTCATTTGATTTTAACTACAAAATAGATTAAAAAGGGAATCAAAACACTAACAATTGCATTCTTTTCCTGAAATATACAAGTATTTGTAAAAGTTTCAAGTTTAGAGAGAATTTAACAAAATAATCCAACTTTTAATATGAAAAGTGCTTATTTTATACAATTATCACTTATGCATATCCTAGATAAAAAAACTCTCATATTCGAATATAGTCCTTTATTATTAACCCATTATATATTCTTTTAAAAACTTTTTTCTTGGTTTAACCTAATTTTATCATATTATACTATTACTACTTTTTACCTTAAAATTAAGAAAAATTTACTTACATCAAAGAATAAAACATCAATTACAATAATAAAATAGGCTAAATTGTCATAAATAAAATGCTAAAATAACTATAAAAAAAATTTATTCAACAAATAATATTTTACAGTAGAGATTTAAATTATTTATTAGTTTTTATAAAAATTACGTTTGAAATTAATTCTTAAAAAAAATTATTAAAATTCAATTCAGAAGTACATATTAACCAAATAAAAAATTAACCATCATTGTTAATCTTTGTTTATAAAGTGTTGAGTTGACTATTAGAATTTTAACTTGCCATAATGACATTGCTAAGTTAAACTGGATCCTCTTCAACCGTGCTGCCTCTCCAGTAAAAAGAATTCAACAAATTTTATAAAGTGTTTGCATGTGATTTAAGTACATCCAATTTTATAACCTTTAGTCTATACAATAATACAAGTGCAGGGTACCAGCCAGATGGTGAAGCGCCAATTTCAAGTACAAACAAGCCCCTTCGTAAGGATATCTTCAACAATAAAGCAGCAGCTGATAAATACCCACCTCCTCGCAGGCTGAGAGGCGATGAAATCCCCAAGCTTGTGAATGACTTCAGGATTGCAGCCAAAAATGCCATGGAAGCGGGTATACCTATCTGATATGATCTTATTCAAATTAAATATGATAATAGGAAATTAAGAGTAGAGTGTGAGTGTGAGTGTTAGTGTGTTTCAGGTTTTGATGGGGTAGAGATTCACGGAGCGAACGGGTACTTGCTGGATCAGTTCCTAAAGGACAAAGTGAACGATAGAGATGATGAGTACGGTGGTAAGTTGGAAAATCGTTGCCGCTTCCCACTGCAAGTGGTGAAAGCAGTGGCTGATGAGATCGGAGCTGACAGGGTTGGGGTTAGGCTTTCCCCTTTCGCTGATTATAATGATTGTGGAGATTTTGACCCTCAAACATTGGGCATCTACATGGCCCAATCATTGAACAAACTTGGCATTCTCTATTGCCATGTGATTGAGCCGAGGATGGTGACACAATTCCAAGAGTTTGATACCAAATGGTCCCTCGCCCCAATTAGGAAGGCCTTTGACGGCACTTTCATTGTCGCTGGTGGTTACAATAGGAGAGAGGGAAACCGTGCCATATCAAGCGCTGCTGCCGATTTGGTCGCCTTTGGACGCCTTTTTTTGGCTAATCCAGATCTCCCCACAAGATTTCAGCTCGATGCTCAGTTAAACCACCCTGATCCAGCCACGTTTTATACCCATCACCCTGTGCTTGGCTACACGGATTACCCATTTCTTCAAGATCCCACAGAGTAATTATTTTAATATTTCCTCTCACTGTCGTCATCCCGGACTTGTACCAATATTTAATACTCATCTTTTGCCCATTCATGACATATATACTTGTTTCTGTATGGGTTAGATTTATAAAATAAATAAATAAGATTAGATCTATCTTACTTATTTTAGAGTTCATTTAATTGTTCATTGTTACTAGAAATTAAATTAAACTTTAAAATATTACGTGGTTGTTTGCATTTTAAGCGTTAACTTTTCCAATCAATTGTCAAAATTTCTCACTTTACTTTACAAGATAAATTTTTTATTAGAACTACTAAACTCAACGGTTTTTTTTTTAAATAATATATTCTTAAAAATAATTTTTTTAAAAATTAATTCTTTTTCTAATGTTTTCTTAACTAAACTTTAGAAATCTTAATGCGATTTTCAAATCTTTTTAACTATTATCCTATTATAATAATTTTTACTAAGAAGAATGTCTATGTTGTAGCAATTTCACCTAAAAGGTAATGAGTTACTCTTATAGCACGTCGTGTATGGTGCTCAAGGCTCTAGGCTTGAATAGCAAGAGCAACTTTTAATTTATTATCAGCCCAAACAATAAATTCAATAATTTTTTTGTTAATAACTGCTTTTTTTTATCATGTCAATAGTAGTATACTCATGTATAGATGATAGTAAGTTTTTAATATTATTTTAATATATTATCATCTTGGGATGACTAATACTACCCAAATACATCTTTCGGACTAGATGTGATATTTTATACGTGCATCCGTTACATCTTTTTAGAAAAGTCGAATAAAGCATACAAGAGTATTTAAGAGAAAAGTGTATATGAGATAACCCCACCTTTCAATCTTTTACTATTTTCTATGGGTTCACTCCCATCTCTCTCTCTCTCTCTCTCTCTTGCATTGTGACAAAGTAAATCTCTCTCTCCCAAAGGATAGACAGTGGTTTAGACTATTAGTCTCAACTATCAACTTTCTCTCTCTATATATCAATCTAAGTTGCTTTAATAAATAACATTGCAATGCAATCTCTCTTTAGATTTGTCTTTTTCTTTCTCTATTAAGAATGGCCAAAGAGCTTTATCTGCTTCTTCTTCTTCCCAAACAATGGTGTTGTTTTGTAGTTTCACTACCAATGTTCAGTTTTGCATTCTCCACTGTCAAACTCCTCTTCCCTCACCATTGTTGATCCGTTCAACTTCATCTTACTTCTTACATCCATTGAGTCGTTCAACTCAGGTACATCCAGTTACAACATGTCACAGTCTCTTATCGGCTATTCTAGGATGTAGTATATTAAAATAAAAATAAAAATTTATTATGATCCCATCTCGTTCGATACATATCAGGTTACGACATGTGTCAGTCTCTACAGTAGTATCCGCTATCCTAGGATGATAGCTTGTTAAGATAATAATAAAAACTTATTATCGTCCATGCATGGATGATACTATTGCTGATATGGTAAAAAAAAAAGCACCAGACAGAGAATTAGTTTTAAAAAAATCTTATTTAAAAAATTGTATTTAAAAATGTATTATTTAAATAAAAAAAGCCAAATTCAATAAAAAATACTTATACATATTGGCCATTGAATAAGTGTCTATGTGAGCATATATTTAAAAGAGGAGAAATTTTTTAAGTAACACACTTAGCACTAAGTTAGTGAAGATTTAGAGTAAGGATATAAAATTATCAAATAGTATGCTTAGGCCAAGGAATTCCTTCCTTATTTAGGTATTGATAGCTGAGTGGATTTGTCATCAAATACACATGACTTTGTAATCATTTGGGTACATTTAGCATTTATAAGGAGTGTATGCGTCTAACAAAATTGACATTTTGTCAGGAATGTCAAAATTGTTAAGTAATGGAGGTTTTTCATGTGGCAATTGAAGTGTTTGTGAGCCGTCTCTATTTTCAATAAGTATTTCTCAATGTCATCCTATTTTTTGTGGTGAATAAGGAATAAATTAAAGCATTTAACAACTACTCAATTCTAAATGAATATACGTCAACATGCTTATTATATATATATATACATAAAGTATGTCCTCGAGCACAATGTTTAGAGAACATAATATAATATTACATACTATCTAAATTGTTTTCAAAATTATTTAACTATGAAATATTACAAGGAAAGATAACAGTCTAGGATAATATACTACACATAATACATAAATAAACTAAACTTCTCCTATCCTCTTGACTCCTTCCTTATTCATCCAACCCCTCTGGAGGAGGGTCGACATTAATGTCAAGGTATGCAACTGCATGACAAAGAGGCAAAGGTACCTCCACTCTATCTTCTCCCTATATAATAGTAAGACTAACATAGATATTATTAATAGTAGATATAGTTAAGATACTAAAGCTCTTAAATATGATGGTCTAGTTAGAGTCATTGAAACTCCACTCTCCGGTTCCCATACTAAAAGGTCATGGTGGACACATTACAGAAAAGACAGGGGTGAGTACAAACATTCATAAACAATCTAATAGGCAATACTCATGTTTAAATGAATAAAACATCATTCAGACATCAACAATACCAAGCATCAACAGTAGCTATGCTTAAATGAATGAAACAACATTCAAGCGTCAAACAATATCTGTGCTTGAATGAACAAACAACGTTCAAGCATTTGGCAATACCAAGCTTCAATAATACACATGCTTAAATGAACGAAACAACATTCAAGCATCAAGCAACAATCATTCAATGTCTTTTGTTGGTGAATTCTCCATGGAGTAATTAATTAATTATCCAACATTTTAATTTTAGGTTGAGATTGAGAGTTCTATCTCTGCAATCCAACTAGTGTCATAGGTACATCTTCTCCTTTTACTGGAGACAAAACATAAGTGCACAATTCTTATTTTATAATCACCACAAGTAGCCCACACTCAAACCAATCTTGGTATGCTTTAGTGCCTGTCAGAATAGGCTAGCAAAGTTTCCACTGCCTACGACACAAGTTACCTAGACTTGGTTTCCTGTAAGTCTTGGGTACTCTCCTATCTCCTATGGTCAGACCAACACTATTTGCTCCTCGTCTGTACCGTGGCATATTCAACCTTTTTCACAATCATAAATACAAGCACAACAATTTCATAGCCAATAGTTGTCCAATAGGTACATTTTAACATCAATATTTCAAGAGAGCAATCAATCACACAGACATGACTATCAATCAAAAATTTCCATATTTCATGAAGCAAATTGTAAAATTCATAACTAATCTAATACGACTCCAAACATCATGAAATCACGAAGGTTTTCTTCCTTTAAATGTCTACTGTAATATAAAATTACAATCAAAATTCAAACACTTATAGAAAAATCATTAAACCTCAATTCATCTCTGTTGTTCTCAGATTAATTTAATAAATAGCCAGCACATTAGAAAATTTGTAATAAATTCATGTAAAAATACTTTCAAAATAAAACTATTCATAGACATTAATTCATGCTTTAGTTTCTCAGTTCATGTCACAGAATGGCACAATTCAACAACATATTGAAAAAAATCATCAACCATTCACTTCATCATCAAAACTCATGTTATTTCACTTTGGTTATCTAGTTTCACAAAAAAATATACTTAAAAATTTATAGCTTCCAGATTCCAGAATAAGTCCTAAACATTCTCTGTCATTTATAGTAACACACTTCTCAGAATCAGTTAAATAGAAAAGTCATAACTATTTTATTTTAAGTCTAAAATTTATCAAACTAGTGAGGATATTTCTCTTATTGTCTATATTTTCATACAAAAATAATAATAATAATAAAATAATGCCACTTATATATTTTAAAACGAAAAAAGTTTCTCAGTAGCATGCACAAAACGTTACTCTCATACCGCAACACCTTGAGAAAATCATAAGTAATTCATTTTAACTCCAAATTGATCAAACTCAGTGAGTATATTTTCTTTATAAATTATAATTTCATAAATATAATACAATCATACATGAATTCTAAGACAAAAATGATTTAAAATACACAATTCTCAGAAAAATATTTACACATAACCGAATATTCAAAAATTCATAACTATTTTATTTCAATTCCAAATCAAGTGAAATAAGTGAGTATACCTCCATTAAGAAGTCTATTTTTATAAAAAAAAATATCAATAAAATAACGCTCCAAACATACAATAAGACAAAAATAAGTCAAAGTATACTGCTTTCAGAATACCATTTTCATGCAACATAAATTTATAAAAATCATAACTAATTAAATATAAATCCAAATAAAGTAAAACTAGCGGGGAAAAAAAAAATCTAAATTTAACTATCTTCCTGAATCAAATACTAAAAAAATACTTTCAAAGATTTTTTTTCATATTTTACATTATTTACACTTTAATCCTTATATTTTATATTAATTTCAAAAAGGTCCTTGTCTCCAATTTGGTAAGTCTCAAATTGTCCAGTATGTCTTCCATGTGTGCAAGGTCATTAATTTACGTCTAAATATAATCTCAATCATTTTCGTGGTCCTATTACACATGTAATCAAGTGTCTTGCATTTCTAAGGTATTTGTGGTCCAAGTCCATGGTATTTTTCTATTTTTAGGTTCAATCTTTCAAATTTAGTTATTCAAAGTTTGTTCTCATCATTTGTCCATGTAGTCTATAGGTCCAAATATGACCATAAGTCCAGGAGTCTTCATCATGGTCACTTTCCATTCTTAATCCATCTCCTTTTAGAAGTTTCTTTCATAAATCTTTAAAAATACTTTTGAAATTCATTTTGATTTCTAAAATAATTTCAATCCAAAAAAAGATCATGAATCCAACTCAGATATCATAAAAATAAGTCACAAAATGAAACATGCAAGATTTTCATACAACCAACCACATAATAAGCAAAATTATCATCAAATACAATACATTTTGTGGTTCTTAGTGATTTTCATGCATTTACTTATTTCAATCAAAATTTTAATCATGGATTCATCAACACACACAATTTCAATCACAACCAAAAAGGTTAAGACTCTCCTTGACTCAAAACCATTTAAACAGGGTATTCCCCTTGATTATGAAAAGTACCTTCCCCCTTACTTGGTGTTTTTGGGTTGATCTTGCCTTGATCTTTGGGTGATCCTTCTCCTCTTCCCTTTTTGCTTTATTTCACCTC